ATATTGTAGGGTCAATCGCTTTTGGCATGTTTAAGAATAAACTCCCTTTAAGGCACTTGGCAAGTCAAAACTGGCCGCCCTGATAATGTTTTAGGTTTGACAACAATTATACTCGTGGATTTCAGAAATAGATATTATTTTTTCCTAGATGTTATTACAATAAGCGAAAATGTCCACAGTTTGTTTAATAGTACAAAAAAAAGGGGTGTTAAAAAGCTATCAACGTTTTCTTTTATTGAACACAATATTTGCACTGTATTGATGTAAATAATCTAGCCTGCTGCCCATGTAACTTAAACATAAGTAAGGATAAGATTTATGGATGAAAAACGTCTTTATTACAATTAAAAGCGACGTTTCGGTGTAGGTTCTAATACCGTTATCAAGGAAGTTTATCAACACCGAAACGTCGCTCTTAATTGTTTTAAAGAAGTTGTTCATCAATAAATCTTGCCCTTACTTAGTACTAGTACTGCAACTTCTAAATGCCTATCAAAGAAGTAACTTAAACATATATATATATGATCTTCATATGCCACTGTCTGTAGCCTGAAAAGGAAATAAAGTTGTGTCTTATGACCTCTATTATCCCTGCTGACGCTATCATAATGTTCAATTTCAGTCTGCCACTCCAATCGTGAATAAGCGTTATACACGTGTTGATAAACCACACTGACGCAATTAAGAAAAAAAATATTTGGTGTGTCACACCTGATTTTTTGTCTGAATGGAACGTCTGAAAACATCGGGTTAACCGTTACACACTAATCCGGGGTGATGTTTTTTTTGCTACAGAATCAAAGTTCCGTTGTGCTACATGTATATATTAGATGTTGCGATGATGTGTCAGTACGATCGATGTATAGTATATGCAATACACTTAAAACTAGACACATGTTAACGATAATAATGACAGAGAGAGATGAATAAACGCAGGTCGGGTCAGTAAAATTTTATTGGTTAATTATAAGTTGCAATTTTGTAAACAGTTTTTTAAAAGATGAAAGAAATGATGGTGTATAAAAAAGACAAGCAATTAACACTATAACCATGATGCAATCGCGTTAATTACTCAATACAATCCACAAAGTACAATATATAGGGCGCCTTTTTACTATTTATTCCATATTTAATATCATTAATTCATTTATGGGTACCAAAGAATGAATTTATATCACAAATATGATTTTATTATACCATAAAATGTTTATTAATACGTCAAATCGGCTTTTAGATATCAATAACAGAATTTATCAAATAATGTACTTTTTCATCTAAAATATCGAATAAGGTATGATATCTCTAGCCTTCGTCTCCGTGGCCTTATGCCCATTGTTTAACAGTTCGTGTAGATAGGTACAGTATGTTAACATTTACATATATAGTCATATTCAGTCGATGTATCAACATATATGTAAGGGCAAGCTTCTTCCCTTTATTTAATCAGTTTTCCACCTGGCTCTGAATGTGGAACTCAGGTTTTAGAATTACATATGTATCTTGTTATACTTGTATTTTTATGCGATTTGAATATTTATATTTACTATTGTACTTACTACGTTTTACGTGAGACGTTTTATATTTACATGTCACCATATATTACCATTATTGCTTGTTAGCTAAAGACAATTGACAAATACGCAAAAACAAATGACTAGTAAACTAATAATGTACGTTGAAAATAATATATTGTTAATGCCAAAATGATGCATCAAGGATCAAGTAGTAGATACACTTACAGTAGCGCTGGGAAACTATTCAACAAGCCCGTGAAAACAAAAGTGCTTTAGTTCAATGTTTATCTCTCCTGCCGGCTATATGCAGCGGCCATCTTACACACAACTCCACGCTCACGTCTACAGGTCTCTTCCTGTGGTACGGTAATTAGTAGAAACCCTCTCCCTCAAGTGTATCTTCCATGATAGAAGAGAAGAAGAAGAAGAAAATTGTTTTATTTAAGTGTCACCCGGCGTTGTATACAATACTATTTCGATGTGGTAAAATACCGGCAGATATATATAAAAAGAATAACGCCAGCCGGCCTATAAAGGCCTATGAGACACATGTTACACAGTAAAAAGCATGTAATATAAAAAAAGAAGTTTATAAAACCTCTTAAGTGCATTTGAAATACTAAGAAAATTAGAGTTACGAACCATGGGGTTTTATAAATTATGCAATGAGGGACTGACGGCGGTTATACATTTTAGACAATGATACGGCTATTTTCTTACACAGGGAATTATTGGACATAAGGTAGAGAATTGGTTAACTGTAGACAGCTGAGGGAAAGAAGGATTAAGAGTAGAAGCAAACTGAAAGAGGTCGTAACGCAAATCAGCATAAAGTTGACAAAACATAACAAAATGAAGTTCATCTTCGACAGAATTACTGTTGCAGAACTTACATATTCTCTCCCCAAGGGGGATAACTGGACGTGAAAACCTACCAAGTTCTACCTGCAGCGGGAGTGTTCCACAGCGGAATTTACTTAGTATACTTCTCTCGCTTCTATCAAGAGGAGAGTTGACATAAGCTTCTACATGTAAACTATTTTTAAACAAGCGATATGTTCGTAGTTTATTTCCATTAACGTTTCCTTTGTCATCCCATAATTGGATAAACCAGTTAATATAATCAGCATAAATCAAACCATGTTTTGAATAATCCAATTCATATGGCGAAATGTCATAAATATTAGATCAGGCAACTCCCAAGATGAAACGAGAGATAAAACTTTACTGTACCATGATTTACTAAAATTGGAAGACAGTCTGTTAACTGCAAAAACAAGTCTTGAATGCTGATCATAATTAATATGACGCCAAAAACGGAGAATTTCAATGTACTGTGGATGGTGCGCATGCGTCTGTTTGAAAAGGTCACGAATTTGACAGCTCTGACAGCAAAGACGAAAATCAAGTTTGAACTGTGTTTTAGAAACTGATCGTACGTTTTTAGCAGTTTTAAAGTGAAGTATGAAACCCGATTCCCACAGAAAACGCAGTTTGGACGAAAAAGACGAGTACAGTGCCGAAATGAAACTTCGTGACGACTCTGTCTACACAGAAGCCGAGGTTTACGTACAGTCAGTCATGGCGACCAGTGAAGCAAGACGATGTGACACGGACAAATCACCTTGTACAGACAGTGTGAGTAAAAAGAACAATGACGTTGATAATCCGTCTAGTGAACTTTGCAAGGCTTCTGATATTATGAATTTATTTCATAGTATGTCGTCTGAGATGAGAAATATGTTTAAGACTGTGAATGAAAAGATCGCAAATCTCGAAGTGAGTTTGGAAGGCAGAATATCACAGAGACTGGAAAAGATTATTGATGAAAAGTTCAAATCTACAGTCGAATCCGAACTGATCAATGTAAGAACCGAGTTTCAGAGCGAAATTGATAAACTGTCATCTAACATATCCAAGATGCTGTCGTCGTATGCCGACGTTGTGGAAAGGACGGGAACACCTGACGATGTGCGTGAGTGTAATATTGTGATCTAAAACCTTCGTGAAGACGACAGGGAGAGACAGTTCTATCACCAAAGGCAAAGTTATTGGCCTTATGAGAGATGAACTTCGTCTAAAGGATGTGTTTGTGACTCAGGCCTCGCGGAAAGATAGTCGCGGAAAGTATCCAGGAGTTGTTGTGGCAAGTCTACAGTCCAGCGAACAACGAGCACAGGTAATGAAGAATAAGTTCAAACTGAAAGACAGTAAGCAATTCAATAAAGTATACATTGAACTTGACATTCCCAGTGATAAAAGGAAGTTCGACGCAAACATGAGAACAATTTTGAGGGAAATGGGGAAAAACCAACTTTTCACAGTTAAAAGCGGGAGAATTGTGAAAATCAAGCAGGAAAATAAAAAGAGAGACTAGAGGTGTGCCCGAATAGGAACGTGGAAAGTGAATGCAATTCTGATTTTAAACAGTGTTATTACCAATCTGTGTTTTGATATTTTTGCAATTTGTGAAACATTTCTTAGTTATGATGATGTGTTACCCTGTCCTAATGAGTACGTGTGGTATGGCAGAAATAGGTCCGATAGACATGTGAATGCTAAAAGGGGATCTGGAGGGGTAGGATTTTTTTATAAAGAAGAACTTTCTGAATGTATTTGATGTTTCTGTTCTCGATCAGTCCACAGACGATATTCCTTGGTTGAAGTTTTCGCCACGGACTAGTGAATGCACCTTCTGTGTATGTGTATGTTACTTGCCCCCTGAAAGGTCAATGCGGCCCCTGAAAGGTCAACGCGCCCCGTGGATTCTGAGCAGTTTTTCAAAACTTTGCACGAGCAAGTGTGTCAATATCAAAATATGGGTCTTCTCTACCTGTGTGGTGATTTCAATGCAGGATGCGGAAACAATAGCGATTTCATCGCGGGGGTGGATCACGTGACTGCGAGAATTGTGTCAGATGAAACGGAAAACGTTCACGGTGACCTGTTGATTGACTTTATGACTAATAATAACAGGTGTATGTTAAAAGGAAGAGTTGGAGTGCAAGACTACACGCATGTGTCTCATCGGGGGAGATCGGTGGTGGATTATGTGATCGTTTCTCAAGAACAACTAACTTTCTGCGATAATTTTAAATCTTCATTTAACTTCAACATTAAGTCGCGAATTTCAACTCCAAGCCTGCGAGAAGATCCCCGATCACAGTGTACTTGAGTGGTCAATCATGATGGAGGTGTCCTCCCATTAGTTAGACAGCCAGTTGTTAGACACCTTAAAATAACAACTTTTCTGGTTGAGTGCACAACAAAGTGCAATGCTGTTACCTTGATTGATAATGGAATGACCCATAGCTAAACATCAAGATATAACAAAACAAAAAGACGTGTTAAATCAGATGTACTTATTTTATAAACGTTCATCTCAGATTTGGTTGTTACATCAGATGTATATTCACATATATTAAATTTAGTCATGATATGTACACAACGTCATACTCGGTTCATCCTGTTGTCAGACTAAGGTCTTTAGGCAAGTTTCAGGAGGTGGTCCACAGCATCTAAAAACTGAACTGGAGTCTTCTGACCAAGGCGTAGATGGTCGTTCAATCTGATGATCCGGTTGTCGATCTCGCGATACACTCGCTTGCGGCTGGGTGGTGCTGCTTCAAAGTTGACCTGGACGAGTTTGCTTCTTTCAGCATGTTCAATACTTCTGATGACCTCTATAAACCGGAAGATATTGGGATGGCGATGAGGCAGGGACTGGTTCAACCGGCAGTGAAAACCTTCCAGACTGTTGTTGGTGCGTGGCCCTTCAGTTTCATGGTGATTCCACAGGGGCAGCGGAAACCTTGCATCATCATCCACCCAGTTGATAACCATGAAGTCTTTGAAATCTTCAATGCGACGACCATCAGGGGAGGAGTTCATTACATCCAGCCATACACCTTGCACTCGGTTTGGGGGAAGTAGAGCCAGGCTAGCCGCTCTCCTGATGAACTGTTGGACCCGAGGGTCTTCTTTGTATGGCACTGCCAGTCCTAGGTGTTGCACTTTTCTCCACAGGGCTTGGCAGTAGTGGAAGTAGCATCCTTTGATGATGGTCAGGGGAAACTCTTCTTCTACTGCACGGATTGCGGCCAGCTCGAAGTCTGTCTGAATTCTGGTTGGAGCAAGTGGTCTGTTCAGTCTCTGCTGCACTTCAGTCTTCAAGAGTCGGAACAGTCTGGCATAGGTGGCGGCTTGACGATCAGGCAACAGGGTGAACACAAGTGGATAGGATGTAGAACCAGCTCGAGCATGAAGGATATATACTTGATCCCACAGGTCTGGGCAGGAGGTGAAGGTGCCATCCATGTACACCGTGTCCGCAGTCTGCAAGGCTTGTAGTTGTTCCAGGGTAGAGAAGGCTAGGATCTTGTTGTGCACGCCATCACTAAGGAGGAGGAAGGGCCGTCCATCAATGGTCTCAGTCCAGGAACCTAGGAGATTAACATCTGAGAGATTCCTGGGGAGAGCAGGCATGGTGTTGCGGCGCTGTCTGTAAAGGGCACTGCTGACACTGGAGAAGAAAGGCAGAATGGGTATCTCGTTGTCATCTTCTTGTGCTAGCTGGTCATTGTAGAGGGAGTGCATCTTGGTTGTTTCTTTACGGGCGCGCTTTCGAAGTGTGCTGAGGAACTTGAGTACAACATGCAACTGGAGTAGCAATCAAGTAAATAACTATAACAATAAATAAGTAGAAAATAAGTAGAGAAAGATCAAACAATGAAGGTTGAGACATGCCTAATTAGTTCACTGTGTAGGACTGTACCATTGTTGTGGGTACTGCCCTAATTAATCCCCTACTTCAGTGTCTGACAACTGGCTGTCTAACAACTGGCTGTCTAGCAACTGGCTGTCTAACTAAAGGGAGATAACCATGATGGACCCTGACACGCCGGACACTGAACAAGCCGTTGGCGAAGTGAGACAGAAACAAAAGTGCTATGTATCAACTCATGTGCCTGAAGCGTTTTTTAATGAAGAGGACACGCCTGCACGCATTGAGTCGACAGTAGACATGATTGATCAGGCCTTATCTGTGAATGATATTGACAGGGCTTATGGTATTTCTCGGACCTTGTGAGTAACGAAATGGATGATAAACTTCTGCTTAAGATAATTAACCTTGGTCCACATAGTAACAAAGCCAAACGCTGTAAAACTAAACCGTATTGGAATGAAAACTTGGATGCCATATTTACGTCAGTGTGCGTTAAAGAAAAGACTTGGCTGAAGTTCAAGGGCTCTACACCATTGAAAGCAAAACTAAAACACGAATTTTGTGAATAACGTAAACGTTTTAACAAAGTTTTACAAGCAAAGCGACGATTTCAGCTTCAGAAGAAAGACAATTTGAGTAGGATGTTATGTGATAATACACGTGACTTCTGGAAGGAACTGGGGAAAGTTGGAACGGCTAGTAATAGGAACACTTTTATTCCAATGGAAGTGGTTAACAGTGACGGTAATGTGTGTACCGACAAAGACCAGGTCCTTGAGCGTTGGGAAAAAAGATTATCAGCAATTGTACAGTAATAATGAAGATACAGCTGGTGTGTTTGATGATGGACATTTCAGATGTGTAAAGATAAGCTTGAAGAGCTTGCAACTCTAAACTTACAATCAGATTTTTTAAACAGCCCAATCACTAAGGATGAAGTCCGTCTCGCCATTGATAGAGCGAAGCTTGGTAAGGTAGCCGGCTTAGACAACATACCATCAGCAGTTTTAAAAAATGAAGTGTGTGTCGAACTGTTGTACAGACTTATTTCCAACAGTTTTCAGAGTGGTAAAGTCCCAGATGTTTGGAATCAAGGAACGATCAAGCCTAAACCTAAGATTTCGAAGGACAGTGACCCCCGTGACCCTCTTAGTTATCGACCTATTACTATTCTGTCCATCCCATCTAAAGTATATGCGGATGTTATAAACTGCAGACTGTGTAAATAATTAGAAGTTAAAAACATCCTTGTCGATGAACAAAATTGTTTCAGGAAGGGTAGATCATGTTTGGACCATGTATATAGTTTACACAGTAGTGCTAATAACAGGAAAAGTAAAAAAAATGTCAACACTTGCTTGTTTCATTGATTTTAGAAAAGCGTTTGACTCTGTAAAGATCTCTTATGGTTTAAGTTGATTGAACACGCCATAACTGGCAATGCATTGTCTGCAATCAGATCTCTATATGACAATGTCTTATGTTCTGTACAAGTTAATAATTATCAGACAAATATGTTTCAGGTTGATTTAGGAGTCAAACAAGGCTGTGTACTCTCACATACGTTATTTGTGTTTACATAAACGATTTGGCACTGGAGTTGAATAGATCCAATTGTGGGATTCAGATTGATGATATGAATGTAACCGTTCTTTTGTATGCAGGTGATATTGTTTTGTTAGCGCCAGATGCGGCAAGACTTCAGCACTTGTTAGATATCTTACACAAGTGGATATTTAAGTGGAGGTTGTGTATAAACGGTAAAAAGTCTAATGTTATTCACTTCAGACAGAGAAGTATGTCGCAGTGTGAGCATGTATTCAGATGTATTCATTGCACACGGGTATCACACGCGTGGCGGACGGGTTCCACACGAGTGACCAACGGTGTGCACACGGGTTGCGTAACGCGGTGCCCATGCGTGTAAGGGGAATGAACTTCTAGGCAGTAGTGTATGTTTTGACTCAACTCTTGTATCCACAAACATGGATTGACAACAATTGTGAACATTAACTGAACCTATAAAATAATCGATTACACTACATTCTTGGTCTGCTATGTAAGTACAACTACCCTCTTTGTCTCCAGTTGTCCTGCCGTTGAAGATATATATATATATATATATATATATATATATATATATATATATATATATATATATATATATATATATATATATATATATATATATATATATATATAAATCATGAGTGAAACACAGTTCCAGTAGCTTACGACCAAAATTGTTTACAAAACAATCACATGACTGTCTCTTTTCTACTGGAACAGGTGGTTCTTCGGGAAAAGCTGCATTGTTGAGGCCAGGTTGAATTAGTGTCTCTGGTTGATTGTTTCCCCTGCCTACACGGGCATTCAGGTCCCCACAGATGATGACCCCACAGTCACTATGCTCAATCAAGATTCAAGATTCTTGATTCTTTATTCGGTATTTTGAGCCATGTGGCCTAGAGTACAATTACAATTACAATAATTGCTGCGTCACGTGATGTCAGGAAAATAAATACAAGTAGTCTTATTTCACATTAAATACATGATTTAAGTATAAGGCCAAAGCCTTTACAATGTTGATAATTTTGGAGTTGAGTAGATTACATAAACTGTGATTATCATGATGGACATTGGATAACCAAGGCAAATAGTGGTTTCTGCTCAATCAACCACTGGTCAACCAATTCAATGGCAGTTGCCTTTCAGCTACAACATAGAATGCTGAGCCGATGGGAGGAACATACATTCCAAATGATAAAAGGTTTTGGCCAATAGTTGAGAAATTATCAAATTTAATGCATACGACATTGTGTATATCTAATTCAATCTGCAGGTCTATACAGGTCTTAACCAACAACGATACACCGCCTGACAATCTACCAGCCCTTGCTCGCCTATGAGCTTTTGCAACATATGTGACAGCTGACAGCTGAGGTATGGAGAATGCATAGTCAATAAATGTTTCAACTTAACATAAAATTTCGAAGCCTTTATGTAATCTAAAAAGTCTAAATCATCTATTTTTGAAAGAAAACCTTCAATATTCCATGTAACTAGTTTGAAGTTTGATATGGAAATGGAATGTTCGGCACCTGATAATTCAGAAGTGATGGTAGCGGCCAGGCTGTATCCCTAGCTACTGTCCACGGTAGCACTGTGCTCGGAATTGCTGTTGTAGTCAGCTCTTGGAGGTTGGGCATTCCGGGAAACAGGAGCAGTAACGGTTGATTTAGCATGTACATATCTCCGTGTCGATTCGTGTATGGGTGTGTTGTCATGGGTACCAGGTTTTGTGACCAGTCTACCATTCTTGTAGTAGACATCTAGGTGTCCGTCCCTCAGATCAGCTAGAGTCTCTCTCTGGTGCTTGGCTACGTCGTTAGCAACGCCTATAGCAACACTCCTCAAGGTATGTCAGAGACATCTAGTTGTCTGTCCCTCAGATCAGCTAGAGTCTGTCTCTGGTGCTTGGTTACGTCGTTAGCAACGCCTATAGCAACACTCCTCAAGGTATGTCAGAGAAAACTTAGCAATGAGAGGGCGGGGTTTAGTGGGTTGCGACTATATCCGATGCGCCCGTATAATATCGGGGCGTTGCCAATACTTTGTCTTCTCAAGCTCATTGGGCACAGTAATAACTTTATCCTTGCACATTTCGAAGGTCTCATCAGCTTCTTCGGGCACGCCAGACAATACTACGTTATCCCGACGAGTGTCGATATCAGAGTCCTGACAAGATACCTTGTCTTCAAGTTGTTCAACTTTCTGATAGAGTGCATCGATATCACTGTAGATAGTCTCCTGTTCAAGTCCAACCCTTTCTACGACTGAGAGCATTTCTGAAAGTGAGTTTTCGAGTGATGAACACTTACTGCTAAGGTCGGTTAGTTGTGATTTAATTACACTTATATCGGTTAACAGAGACTGTCGGAAATTCCGTAGTTCTGCGAGGATATCTGATTTAATCTCAGTCTTAACATTTTTCAAATCTTTCATAGTAACAGGCCCTCGGTTGATCTCAACATCACCAGCAAGTATTATATGGATTCTCGTTACATATCCTACCATGCGAAGACCGTCACAGTTGAGTAATGAAGTCGCAAAACATGGCCGAGATGCACGACTTGTCACAGGGATAAACACAGTGACGTCACATACACTTTCGTGTTCATGTGGTAAATATCGATGAAGATCCTCAACGGCGTTAAAGAGAACTTGTCTGTTAGCTAGCAGAAGTGACGACAGCATGAGGTGGAATGTAAGCAAGGCCATGCATACTGACACAGCGGTGTTTCAGACAACGACGTGTGGGGTGTGTACTCAGCGTCCATGGCGACATGTCTCGCCTGTCGTGTCCCTGGAGGGTGGGCAAACTTTTTCAATAAACACGAATGGTTGTCATCAAACAATCAACGCCCATGTATTTCATATGAGGAAAACATGATCCGTCAACGTGTGATTACCACTCACATCTAAGCCTCATACACACATGGTACGATTGTAACCCCCCTGTTGTTGTGACATTTTGTTCCCTTTTCAGTTTTTGTCTTATTTCAAAATGTACAAATGTGTATTTTTCATTCTTTCCGGGGAAAATATTTTGATCTTATTGGGGACTGATATGATATCCTGAAGGGAGTGATTTGATCCAAGTTTATAGACCTACTGACACTTTTGCCTATTGTATTTTTGGTATGTTCCTATTTTGGGAAGATTTACGTTTTCCTTGTAAAACCTCAACCCGGGTATGAGGTTTCACTTTTTCCTCGTTAGACGTGGTATGAGGTTTTATTTTTTCCTAGTGTTATATGGCAGTGTATTTATTGTTTAACAATGACTGTAACTGTGTTATATTGTTTCT